AATATGAGAAAGTATTTCGAAAACATGATAAACGCAGCCAACATGTCCTTAATATTCCTAGCAAGACCCGAATTAACATTATCAAGAACAACAGTAACTGCAAACTGTGTAATATGAGAAAAAAAGAAGCTATTATCAATTTCATGGTTCAAAAAGATTCATATGAATAGTAAAATTTCTAATAAATACAAAGTAGCTGAGACAGTGTTCTGCATTTTTTTTCAACTGCATAGATGTTGTACATTATCAAAAGCAAGTGTTTTCGTTCGACCGATATGGGACATCTTGTAGGCACTCAACAACACTATCTATAGTATTGATGTGTTTAAGAAAGGTCGTCTACGTAAATGAAAAGAGATTTTGTACGTCACATTTCTGGGGTTTCTTCATCAATAGTGACGGAGCCATTATGCATTATATATAAAGTAGGCATGAGAAATTTATTCTCTAACATTTTCATCAGTTGGTCCATTGATATTTAAGTCCAAATATTCGAGTTCAGAATTTTGAATTGCTGCAGCTAACCTGAATTACCCTGCATTACCTGAATTATTTAAAATTAAATATTAATGAATTGCCATATGATTTGTAATATAACAGCCTCGTAATTATTGAATTAATCTTATTCTATAAAGTTATTAAATAATGATTAGATTTTTGCACTGAAGCAATTCCTGAGTACATAAATAGTTAAAAGCAATTTCATCAATTTTAGTTTTCTAGAACATTTACGGTTGTTACTTGATCGCAAAAATGATTTTACTGACGCTCGTTATAATTTTGCTCTCAATGGCAGTTTTTATACATTTCTACAACAGGAGAAGATATTTACTAATGCGCAATGTTCCAAGTTTAGATATATATCCGATATTCGGCACGGTTTCAATATTTTTCAGGTTCAGTCAAATGGGTGTGTGAATTACTAAATTTTTGTTAATGGTCATATCATAGATAATAATCAAAATTACTGTAGATATTTTGACTGCCGTTCGAAGATACTATGTAAATTCTGGAAAAGTTGTACACGGTTGGGTTTTTCATCGACTTTTTGTTATATGCAAAGATGTGGAGATGATCGAACAAGTTTTATCCAGCAATCAGACCATAACTAAACTGCAAATTTATGACTTTTTGAAAGATTGGCTCGGCGTTGGTTTACTTCTTAGCGATGGTAGAAAATGGTTTGCACGGCGTAAAATTATCACTCCAGCATTTCATTTTAAGATTTTGGGGGAATTTGTAAAAGTTTTCGATCAACAAAGTACTATACTTTTAGACCGTTTGGCAACTAAAGCTGATGGTGTGAAGAGTTTCAATATTCAACCATTTATATGTGCAGCATCTCTAGATATTTTTGCAGGTAATAAGAAAAAAATATCATTATAAAATATAATATCCTTCCCCATATTTTAGAAAGTGCGTTAGGTACAAAAATATATGCACAAACGGATAAATGCGTTGAATATGCAAATGCTGTCAAAGAGTAAAGAAGCCAAGCATTTTTATCAAAAATAATTTAATAAGATTTGGTTTTAAAATTACAGGATTACTGATTTAATAGCTTGGCGTTCGTTAAAACTGCCATATCAGAGTGAATTGATATTTTCGTTGTGTTGTCCACATTTAAAGCTAAGACAAATAAAATTAACAAGACTTTTAAAAAACTTTTCTACACAAATAATTGAAAAACGTCGTCATGAATTGGAAATAGACTTGTCTCAATCCACTGAAGAAAAATCAAACGAAGACGATGAGATGATTGGTACCAAAAAGCGAAAAGCTCTCTTGGACTTGTTACTTCAATCCAATGTTGATGGAATTCCGTTAACGAATGAGGATATTCGTGAGGAAATCGATACATTTACGTTTGAGGGACATGACACAACAACATCGGCAATTTGTTTCGCATTATTCGAAATATCGCGACACCCTCAGGTGCAGGAAAAAATTTTGACTGAAGTTAATGATGTTATAAATTTTAGTAGTAGCAATCCTATTAAAATCCAAGATCTTAACAAATTAAAGTATACTGAATATGTTATTAAGGAGACATTACGTTTATATCCATCAGTGCCGATAATTGCGAGGAAAATAAATGCAGACTTTAAATATAGTAAGTAAATAAAATAAAATTTATATGTCTTACTTTGAATTTTCATTAAAATATAAAATAATACGAAAATATTTCAGGTCATTCAAAGATTGGTGATGGTGTGTTACCAGCGACTACAGAGTTTGTTGCTGACTTTTTTAATACAATGCGTGATCCGGATATTTATGAGAATCCAGAAGAGTTTATACCTGAACGATTTGAGAACATGAAAATGGAATCTGCATTTGTTTATTTGCCTTTTAGTGCTGGACCCAGAAACTGTATTGGACAAAAGTTCGCAATGTTGGAAATGAAAATGATTTTGGCAAAAGTTGTATCAACTTTTGAGTTACTACCAAGTAAGGAAAGTATCCAAATTGAATATGCAGTCATACTTCGTTCATATAATGGTTTTCCAGTAATCATGAAAAAAAGAAAAGTCTACTAACATAATTTAATTGTGTTTAGGAATTAAGAATTTAAAATTAATGCTGAAATTAAATCAACAAAAAACTGTTTTATTTTATTTAAGTTTGTAAAAAAACAAGTTGTTTAGAAAAATAATATTTATTAAACCACAAGACATCAAGCATATACGCGATTATTGGTATGGTGATCGGTGGAATGGAGTAGGTAGAGCAAGTTTTTAGAAAAATTACAAATAAGTAAGGAGCATGTTAGTATTAATATCGAAGCCGTATCCTTTTGGGCTCAAAATCTTATAGAGATATAGTTGGTTAAATAATAGAAGAAATAATAGTAACACCAAAAATAAGAACAAATTTTTATAGAACGAAAGTTTCTGACAAAAACTGCAAAGCCAGCAATATTGGAAGTAGAGTACGTATAGAAGAAAGCCAATAAATCTGATAGTCTGAATGTTTGGAAACTTTGCAAACTCAAATAAATATTTAAATTCACTAATCTTGAATTTTTAGTCGGTCTTTATATTATTTTGAGATAATGCTTAATTATTTAAGTATATGGACTTTCAAAAAATAATTATTTTTCATAGTGAATTTTTTCTCTTAGACTAGAATAAAGACTGACAGCCATATTGAAGAGCTGGTAATGTATGTTTAGATGACACAGAATCGTCAGCAATATTAACGCTGTCCTATGAGGAGTATTGCCTCTTCTAATAAAAATAATTAGTTTATAAATGCAAGACGATTGTTAAAAATACATATACTACATTCATATACATATACTTAATTTACTATATATACATATGGTATATTTTGTATTATATTTCAAATTTTCATCAATATAATTTCTCTAATGTGAATCACCAATATTAATATAAGTTATTTACAATGCAAATTTTTTGTTTACTAATATGTAATAAAATGAAATAAATAAAATGATATGAAACAAACATTATGTACATATAATTTTCTGCGTAAAATACCAAATACACTCAATCGTACAAACAACAACAAATTCTATCATCCCTAAAAGAATTTGTATTAATTGTTACATTCTGTACATTCTTTTCCATTTAGTGCTCCTCTTTAAGTTTTGCTCACGAAGTGTCTCAATAATTTTACTGCGAATAATAATTGCAAATCCAGATATTTGAAGACTCCGGATTCACAAAAAATCTAATATTTTTTTCATTTCCGAAGACTTCGTTTATTATACGATTAATCGAATTCTCCGAATACTTTGTAAAATCGAATACGAACAGCTATCGAACACTAAACTAGACTATTACAGACTATTACATCTTTTTCTGTTTCAAAGCTGTTTCAAAGCTGTTTCACTATTTCATTCATTTCACTACTTTGATCAATCTTGGATCTTTGAGGTAGTGAAGATTGTTTAAGTGTAACTGTAAAAACAATTAAATTTTTTGCATTGACTTTTGTTTTCATTGAATTCAAATTATTTTATATTTTACTCCCAATAGTATTTCTCTCTTTTTTCTCTTATCCTCCTCTTCCAATGGAGCATAGAGCCTTTTCCTCCTACATAGATTTGGCACCTCCAAAATCCTTGTGCCTTATGCAGAAGATATAATTACCCCTTGTGTAATATTTTTCCTTGTTTGATTATCAAGGTTTTGTGAATCTATAGGTGAGTCAGAGTCTCCAAGTGAACATATTTATATAGTCAGACTGGACAAACTCAGTTTGATACAAGTCAGACGCCCGCTGCAGCGAGGTATTCATGAGCTGCCAAACATCGGCGGGCCCTTAAATCGAATATGTCGAAGTGGCCCCACAAAGGCTCTCTCTCGTTTGCCGAGACCTAGAGCTCCACATAAATTGGTTACCTTGTTCCGCTCATATGTTGCTCACGTAGCCCATGGTGCACAACGGGAACGTAAGAGTAGTAATTGCGCGGGTTAGGTCAACCGTAACGGCTGCCCAGTTGTGGCTTAACGACGCCATTTTAACTCAAGTCCAAAAACTAAGGTTGTTATTTAAGTATATGTGTGTTAAAAGTCGAAAATTTTTGCAACCGAATCGTGAATAATTTAATAGCTTTTTATTTTTTGTTATTATTCACTTTTTTCGCCATATTCAAATGATTTTATGTATGAAAGACTAATTATGTGATTATTGGTTCTTTGCTTACAACACGAGTTTTTATATCTACAACTTGAATGAAAATAAACTGAAAATTACTTAATTGAGTGCTGCGGCATTTAAGATAATAGCTAGAGCAATTAAATCGTCATGACAGGATATTTAAATGGGAGGAAGATAAAATTTAATATATAACCATATATATAAAGCAATTATATTTATGTGTTAAAGTCATTCTGCTTACATTGTTAATATACGGTTTGTGTAATATATTTTAATTATAGCTTTATTTTTTGCATTGATAAAATATTTTTATATATAGTCCGAAGCAATAAAACAGATATTAGTTTTCTATAAAATATACGATTGTTTAATCCGGAAAATGATACTGCTATCGACTGTAATACTTCTCTCAGCAGCACTTTTTCTACACTTCTACAACAGGAGAAGATATCTACTAATACGTAATGTTCCAAGTTTAGATATATATCCGATATTCGGCACGGTTTCAGTATTTTTTAACTTAAGTCAGACAAGTGCGTAAATCAATAAACTAATATTAAATATAAATTTATTATACGAATTAACAAATAAATAGATTTAAATCAAATGGTTAAAAACTACTATGCGAAATATGGTAAATTGGTACACGGTTGGATTTTTCATCGACTTTTTGTCATATGCAAAGATGTGGAGATGATCGAACAAGTTTTGTCCAGCAATCAGACCATAACGAAACTGCAAATTTATGACTTTTTGAAAGATTGGCTCGGCGTTGGTTTACTTCTTAGCGATGGTAGAAAATGGTTTGCACGGCGTAAAATTATCACTCCAGCTTTTCATTTTAAGATTTTGGGGGAATTTGTAAAAGTTTTCGATCAACAAAGTACTATACTTTTAGACCGTTTGGCAACTAAAGCTGATGGTGTGAAGAGTTTCGATATTCAACCATTTATTTGTGCAGCATCTTTAGATATTTTTGCAGGTAATAAGAAAAAGTATCATTATAAAATATAATATCCTTCCCCAAATTTTAGAAAGTGCGTTAGGTACAAAAATTTATGCACAAACGGATAAATGCGTTGAATATGCAAATGCTGTAAAAGAGTAAAGAAGGCAAGAATTTCTAACAAAAATAATTTAATAAAATTTGGTTTCAAAATTACAGGATTACTGATTTAATAGCTTGGCGTTCGTTAAAACTGCCATATCAGAGTGAATTGATTTTTTCGTTGTGTTGTCCACATTTAAAGCTAAGACAAATAAAATTAACAAGACTTTTAAAAAAATTTTCAACACAAATAATTGAAAAACGTCGTCATGAATTGGAAATAGACTTGTCTCAATCCACTGAAGAAAAATCAAACGAAGACGATGAGATGATTGGTACCAAAAAGCGAAAAGCTCTCTTGGACTTGTTACTTCAATCCAATGTTGATGGAATTCCGTTAACGAATGAGGATATTCGTGAGGAAATTGATACATTTACGTTTGAGGGACATGACACAACAACATCGGCAATTTGTTTCGCATTATTCGAAATATCTCGACACCCTCAGGTGCAGGAAAAAATTTTGACTGAAGTTAATGATGTTATAAATTTTAGTAGTAGCAATCCTATTAAAATCCAAGATCTTAACAAATTAAAGTATACTGAATATGTTATTAAGGAGACATTACGTTTGTATCCATCAGTGCCTATTATTGGAAGAAAAATTATGTCGGACTTTAAGTATTGTACGTATTTTAAAATTAAAGTATTTTGTATAGAAATTAACACAAAACTCAGTCCATAATGTCACACAAAAATATTTCAGCTCATTCAAAGATTGGTGATGGTGTGTTACCAGCGACTACAGAGGTTTACGTTGACTTTTTTAATACAATGCGTGATCCGGATAATTATGAGAATCCAGAAGAGTTTATACCTGAACGATTTGAGAACATGAAAATGGAATCTGCATTTGTTTATTTGCCTTTTAGTGCTGGACCCAGAAACTGTATTGGACAAAAGTTCGCAATGTTGGAAATGAAAATGATTTTGGCAAAAGTTGTAACAACATTTGAGTTAATATCAAGTGGGGAAAACTTAGAATTGGACTATGCGGTAATAATACGTTCATTGAACGGTTTTCCAATAATCATAAAGAAGCGAGAAGCTGAACAGATTTGATTATTTGTAGAATAATAAATATGTACAAGTAAAATAATGCCGTTACCATCTTCAGATTTTTTATTTTTAAAACCGAATGATGGCGGAACCTGTGTAATTTTTGATAAAAAGTGGTGTAAGATAAGAAACTATCCTCAACCTGCTATCTAAAAATAATGTGCGAAAATTAGTACTTGAAGTCTTTCTTTTTTTAATTAAATTATTATATTATTTAGAATTTCTCGTTGTAGATCTTCTTGTTTGATTTGAGATAGACAGATAGATGTGTAGAGAAAGATAACTACTGATGTGCAAAAATAAAACAATAAACAATAAATGACAGAGATGACTTAGTTTTTAAATGTCAAAGATCAGTTCATTTTTGCTGACAAGATGATACCCCGTAGTGGCTAAGGTTGACCAAAGAGGGATGTAGTAGCAAATATTTGTTTTGATAGTGTTTTTTGGGGTAGATAATTAATTATTTTATGATATAAAAGTAATATAATTTATACGAACATGTCTAAGAGAAAGAGATATATCTCCTAAACCTCATTGGATACGCTACTGAAGATTGCGGAATAAACTTCAGGCAGTGTTATGGGCCCAGTTTTATACCTACTGTATACAAATAATCTAGTACTTATTAAGAAGTTCATTATTGGAATTTTCGCTATTGCTACCACAATTTTGGCATATGATTTTTCTTCAAATGGAGAGAAATCTTTAATTTTATAAAGAGGTGTAGATAAAATCATCTCAAAGAAGGTTTACGTAAGCAAACGTTAAACAAAAAGTATTTGAAGTCGGTTTAACTGCGAGGAAACGCCTTAAGAACTTGGCCAGGAAAAACTGGGCGGATACTTATACGCAATCTGAAACGAATTATAATGCGAAATCAGGTGCAATTCGATTTGCTTCGAAAATGGTCATAAACATGTCCAAACTTGGTTCGGGTATTAGGAGATCCGGCGTTAAATATGCTAACGTCACTAAAAGTATAACTTTGGCAATTATACATCTTAAACTGAACACATACTTTTTTGGGAGGAAGAAGGGAAAGTTGAAGAGCTTTTGATAGAGAAGATATATAAAAGAAGAAAATCCTAATTGAAATTCGATGGCACATACTCTCAGAAAAATATGCTCTAACCATATGTTAATTAAATTGACTTGATCATTTTGCTAGAGAAATTTTATCTTATCTGGTAAAGAAGTTACGAAAATTAACTTGTATGGTTAAACCAACATGAGGCATCGAGTAAGAATATTTTAAAATCAGGTTATTTCAACCACACTATTTTTCTTAGTACACTTTTGATCAGCTCTTATACGAGTCGACTATGCAACTGAAGAAGTCGTTGAATGGTTACATCCAACGATATTACAGATTTGTGGCTAGGAGGGGATGATAACTGTATGACGACTTCCGGTTTAAATATGATGACTGTATGTAATTAGATCAGTTGATGTTGAAATGAATAAATTTCTCATTTGTTTGATGACTGCAAACGAGGGCCTTTTTACTCATCTGTGAAGAGGCTACAGTTTTAAGGAAGAAGAAAGATAAATTGCTGACGATTGGTGTAGATGACAAATCTCTGTCGGTGATATTGGCTAATAAGTATAGAGTGGCCAACAGATTTCTCTTAATACCCGTCTATCTACATAAAGAACGAGAATGCATAGAAAGTAATGTCTGAAGAATGATTGGGGTACAAATACCAGCTAAATAAGCCTTCCAGATTCATGATACTATTTTATCTTCAATTGACGGAAGAGAAGCTTGACTCCAATATATAAATTAAGAATATGTTATTCTTATTATAAAATGTTTACTACATTAAAATATAATTTATTATTTATTACGTTTCTTATTATTTTTTTTATTTAATTAAAGTTTTATTATTTTTTGAAAACTGCCTGTGTACATGTTTAATTAATTTCTACCCTTGCGTTACCGTAGGTAAAATGTAAGGGGTGAAAATTGACTACAAGGGTATTGCGAACCTGTTTTTTACGGAAATGCATAATGTGTTTAGAGTTTTAAGTTTACAAAGAAATATATATATTAGTATTACACAAAAATTTTTAAAGTGTAAAATTAAAAAATGTAAAATTTTAGTTTTCTTGCAAATAAAGAAATTATTGTGTTCCATTTTAAAAGCATACTTTTATGGGCAAACTGACATTATATACAGAATTGTGATTTATATGTCTAGGCTCCGAAAAAACTAATTCAATGCCTTCCCTTACTTTTGAAAAGTCTTATTTCTGACTATTTGAAGATATTAATTGTAATGCTTTTTCCTAGAATGAGTTTCTAAAATGCTAAAGTTAATAATTCAATGTATTCGAAATTATTAATTTTAGTTCCATTTTTTAGTAAACGATACTAGTTTTTAATGAAAAAAAATTGAAACCCTATATTTATTTTTTTTCCTAAGCATTATATATAAAATAGGTGCTTGAGTTTTATTAACTTCCTGATCTGATTAAAAATTGGCCGCATTTTGTAAGGCTTCAGACTGTTCTCTACATGCTTTTCTCGTGATAGATTTCTTTCATTTACATATTATTCAAATAATTTTTATAGTAGTCGCGTAGTATTATTATATTGTAATTCAATTTTATTAATCGCTACTTCTTTGTCAGGAAGCATTTTATTTTGTTTATCATTGGTCTTTTGACCACAAAATGTAGCGATGTATACTTCAAGCTAAGTTTTGGGTAGAAAATCAAAAACCACAATTTGAAATATCTTATCTTTGATATGTATTGAATATACAATTGAAAAAAAGAAATAAATTTTTTGATTATTAAATAAAACATTGTACACAGTTGTTATATAAACCATTCAAACCTAAATTTATAATTACTATTACTTAAAATAAAAATAAAATTAATCTTATATTTTAATTCTATATTGAAAATGAAAACAATTTCATAATTTGGTACTTCGTTACTTCATATAAGTACATACATACATATACATATAAGAATATTAAAATCAAAAAAACCTGTAGGTTTTTGTGCTTCGTACTTTGACCTTTGTGCTTCGTTTTATGTATACTGATTAACTTAAAAGAATAATTAAAATATAATTACAGGTAATTTAAACACAATAATAAAACTTGATTTATTTTAATTTACACACTTTTTGCATTTGTATATATTCGTGGATATGAGTATGAATATAAGGTGCCGCATGTGATCGATTTTGGTGTGCCGCACATAAAGGCTGACCACCGATGCCTTTCCGTGCCATCCGCTTACTTTAACCATAACAGTGCTCTATGTTCGCTAAACTGCAACTTACTAAGGCTCGGAAGAAATGTTTACATATGTTAAGTTAAATATATCCGCATTCCGAGTCTAAGTCCCACCTGTGCTTTACTGCAGCAATATCTTAAAGGAAATTAAATTTCCTTTGAATAAATATATTAACATTTTTATCTTAGACGTTCTTAACTAAATTAATTATATTTTATGAAAATAGTAATGTCTTTCAAATATTTGTCAAAACTGTTATACATATGATGATTTTAGAATATATTTAAAATATCCTTTCTTTTCAAAGGACAGGACAAAAGTTTGGGAAAATTATTTCTAAAGTAAAAATGTTCAACTATTTATCTTAATTATAATTATATTCATTATTATTCATAAACGTTTTCATTACATAGCTAACTACAATATATAAGATATTCAATGCAATAATTCTTTTTTTAATCTAGTTTTTATATTTTTATATTTTATCTATGTGCTTTAATTACATTGGCACACTTCTAATAGTATTTAATTTCAAATTTTTATATATAAAAACTCCACATTATTATACGTACAAATTACTACTCGTAGTAGAAAATTTCATTTAAATTTCATTTTTAAATGAGTGCCATTAATAATCTTCCTAGGTTAATGTTCCAAAATTTTGATATACTTAATGATTTATGTCACTTTTACTTAGGATTGATCCAGTAAAAAGAAAGATATTTTTTATAAATATCTTTAAATTTTATTGCCACTCAATGCAATGTGTCTAACATTCAGATATCAGAAGTCATTATCAACAAAATATTCTTCTCATAATATGAATAATACAATATATAGAACGCGCATCACTAAATATTCCAGCCTTTAAAATAATAGTATGTTGTTGAGCCTTCAACACATCAACTAAACGCTTTTATTAACTGGAAAAGCAGAAATTAAATACAGAATTCTGTGTAAAAACTAATTGATAATAATTATAATGATATTAATAACTATTATATAATGATAACAATTATAATAATAATAACGATAATAAGTAAACACACTTGCACTTAACGCCATATATTTATATGTATATAGCAGAAGCAATAAACATATTTTCAGTTCTCTGAAAAATTTACGATTGGTTAGTTAGTCGAGAAAATGATTCTGCTGTCGACTGTGATACTTCTGTTTTCAGCTGCACTTTTTATGCACTTCTATAATAGGAGAAGATATCTACTAATACGTAATGTTCCAAGTTTAGATATATATCCTATATTCGGCACGATTTCAATATTTTTTAGCTTCAGACAAACAGGTATGTAAATCAAAAACGAACTGATTGACACAAATATAATATATATATATTAAATATATATATTACAACTCATGCAGATATTATGTTTTCTGTTCGAAAATACTATGCAAAGTATGGCAAAATTACGCACGGTTGGATTTTTAATCGACTTTTTGTCATATGCAAAGATGTGGAGATGATCGAACAAGTTTTGTCAAGCAATCAGACCACAACGAAACTGCAAATGTACAATGTTTTGAGGGACTGGCTCGGCGTTGGTTTACTCATCAGCAATGGCAGAAAATGGTTTGCACGGCGTAAAATTATCACTCCAGCTTTTCATTTTAAGATTTTGGAGGAATTTGTCAAAATTTTCGATCAACAAAGTACTATACTTTTAGACCGTTTGGCAACTAAAGCTGATGGTGTGAACAGCTTTGATATTCAACCATTTATATGTGCAGCATCTCTAGATATTTTTGCAGGTAATAAGAAAAAAATATTATAATAAAATATAAAAATACTTCTCCATATTTTAGAAAGTGCGTTAGGTACAAAAATATATGCACAAACGGATAAATGCGTTGAATATGCAAGTGCTGTCAGAGAGTAAAGAGAAAAATACTTTCACCAAATATAAATTTCAATTAATTCCATTTTTCAACTACAGGATTACTGATTTAATAGCTTGGCGTGCTTTGATCGTACCATTTCAAAGTGAATTGATATTTTCTTTGTGCTGTCCTGTTTTAAAATTGCGGCAAATGAAATTAACAAGACTTTTGAAAAACTTTTCTACACAAATAATTGAAAAACGTCGTCAGGATCTGGAAAATAATTTGTCTCAATCCACTGATGATACACCACAAGAAGATGATGACACAATTGGTATCAAGAAACGAATGGCTCTATTAGATTTATTACTTCAATCCAATGTTGATGGAATTCCGTTAACGGATGAGGATATTCGAGAAGAAGTCGATACATTTACGTTTGAGGGACATGATACAACAACATCAACAATATGTTTCGCATTATTTGAAATATCTCGACACCCACAGGTGCAGGAAAAAGTTTTGAGTGAAGTTAGGGAAGTACTGAATATTAAAAGTGATAACTCAATTAAAATCCAAGATCTTAGCAAATTGAAGTATACTGAATGTGTTATTAAGGAGACATTACGTTTGTATCCATCAGTGCCTATTGTTGGAAGAAAAATTATGTCGGACTTTAAGTATTGTACGTATTTTAAAATTAAAGTATTTTGTATAGAAATTAACACAAAACTCAGTCCATAATGTCACACAAAAATATTTCAGCTCATTCAAAGATTGGTGATGGTGTGTTACCAGCGACTACAGAGGTTTACGTTGACTTTTTTAATACAATGCGTGATCCGGATAATTATGAGAATCCAGAAGAGTTTATACCTGAACGATTTGAGAACATGAAAATGGAATCTGCATTTGTTTATTTGCCTTTTAGTGCTGGACCTAGGAACTGCATTGGACAAAAGTTCGCAATGTTGGAAATGAAAATGATTTTGGCAAAAGTTGTATCAAAATTTGAATTAATTTCAAGTGGAGAAAATTTCAAACTGAAATATGCGATGGTTATTCGTTCATGTAACGGCTTTCCAATAATCATTAGGGAACGAGGAACATAATATATTTGATTATTTATAACGAAAATTATATAAGTAAATAAAAAGTTTTAATGCCTTCAGATCAAACATCGTCAAATTTATTAACATCATACTCGAATGTTTTCGGTGAATAATAGAAAAATTTATTCAAATTTTATTTTTGAATTGCAAGTTTTTGAAGACTTAAATATATTTAAAAGTTCTTATTTAACTACATAGTTTTAGTGAAGTATATCAAGTGAAACTCTTAAGTGAATTATGTTTAATATTTAATTTAGTATCTCTCATCAGATTACAACTCAATGTGTTAGAATTAGGAATTGTTATAAAAGCTGTGAACATTTTTTACTTCAAATTTTCTTTAGTATTGAATGTCTTGGGCAGGACTTCGAAGAACATTGTTACATCTGGTGTCAAAGGAATTAAAAATCCTCTGTTATACAACGATCAGACGATCAGAAGGAGCAACTTTTAGATGACCATATCATTTACAAAAAGTTACGGAATGGTATGGTATTCGGACAGAAGTGTCTTCACTGTCTTCCGAAAATAACAACAGTTTGACAAAAACCCTCAATTTTGATCACTGCAGTCCCATGATTACCAATTTGTTTTGATGTAAAATTGAAAATATAGATATAAAATATATGTGATTTCAACATGATAGTATCAAAAGTCGAAATCCTAACAAATGTCTGTTTTTACTCTATTTAAGAGGTAACGCAAATAACCACACTTATGTAGACAATTCGATACTCTTGATGATTATGGCTGATCAATTACCAGTTCTGAACCATAAACAGACATATATCTAGTCTATACGGAGGATCTAATCAAAAAGTTTCCCTAGATGTGTCACTAGTGACAGCCTCAAAAATTGAAAAAACAACACAAATAAACATGAAATCTTTATTCATAGAATTCTTAAAGTCAAAGTTGGACTTTCAACAACTACAGGGTTTTAGTTTAAGGTTTCGTAGATCAGAAAAATAATAACATTAAGAAAAAGAATAAGTATAATTGAAGCAATATTGCATGTCCTAAAAAATCATGTCAACAATATACTGGCTTATGTACAGTGTATATTCGAAAATAATATGCAAAGGATTCTCAATATGTTAGTACTCATTTTATCACGGACGCAACCAGTGGAAGCCTACTTTTTATCTTAGTAAACATACAAAGAGTCAGTATCGTGAGACCCTGTAATAAAATAGAATTTATATATAAAAGATATATCAGCAGATGTTGTATGCTCTAAGATATATATATGTTTCAGGTATAGAATTTTGTATTCATTAAACATTGAAAGCAGTAGTTTCATTTGTACAGTTAGGAATGCAATTTAATTGTTCAGATAAGAATCAATTTATCTCTTATTTTTTATAATTAAGTCTATATATCCATTTATGAAGGTGTTATATATGAAAACCTTTTTGAGTGATTAGTGAATAGTTTTATGGATTTTTTATTGTTATTAATATTTATTTTATTCTTTAAATTGTATAACTATTTATTTGTCTAAATGCATTAGTCAATAGTCAATATGAATATGATATAATATAATATGAGGAATACCAAAAGTATATATCTGACGCATTATTAAGCGTTTATAACGTAATAAACTGAGAATGGCAGTTAATTATAACGATTGAGTTTAAAACAATCCCTGACATTTGACACGGTTTTAAATCTCTAATACACCTACTGAACGCCACTTTAAAAACAAGGAACTAAAAATTAAATACAGTATTCTGTATAAACACCAAGTGAGTATTGGTTAATAATGATTGCTGTTATGTATTTCACGCTCATATAATTATATTAGGTATTGTTTAGGGTTCTGTAATTATAGCTTTACAATTCGCATGGAACGAAATATATTTATATATAGCAGAAGCAATAAAAATATTTTCAGTTCTCTGAAAAATTTACGATTGGTTATTTAGTCGTGAAAATGATTCTGCTGTCGACTGTGATATTTCTGTTTTCAGCTGCAGTTTTTATGCATTTCCATAATAGGAGAAAATATCTACTAATACGTAATGTTCCAAGTTTAGATATATATCCTATATTCGGCACGATTTCAATATTTTTTAGCTTCAGACAAACAGGTATGTAAATTAAAAACGAACTGATTGACACAAATATAATATATATATATTAAATATATATATTACAACTCATGCAGATATTATGTTTTCTGTTCGAAAATACTATGCAAAGTATGGCAAAATTACGCACGGTTGGATTTTTAATCGACTTTTTGTCATATGCAAAGATGTGGAGATGATCGAACAAGTTTTGTCAAGCAATCAGACCACAACGAAACTGCAAATGTACAATGTTTTGAGGGACTGGCTCGGCGTTGGTTTACTCATCAGCAATGGCAGAAAATGGTTTGCACGGCGTAAAATTATCACTCCAGCTTTTCATTTTAAGATTTTGGAGGAATTTGTCAAAATTTTTGATCAACAAAGTACTATACTTTTAGACCGTTTGGCAACTAAAGCTGATGGTGTGAAGAGCTTTGATATTCAACCATTTGTTTGTGCAGCATCTCTAGATATTTTTGCAGGTAATAAGAAAAAAATATTATTATAAAATATAAAAATACTTCTCCATATTTTAGAAAGTGCGTTAGGTACAAAAATATATGCACAAACCGATAAATGCGTTGAATATGCAAATGCTGTCAGAGAGTAAAGAGAAAAATACTTTCACCAAATATAAATTTCAATTAATTCCATTTTTCAACTACAGGATTACTGATTTAATAGCTTGGCGTGCTTTGATCGTACCATTTCAAAGTGAATTGATATTTTCTTTGTGCTGCCCTGTTTTAAAATTGCGGCAAATGAAATTAACAAGACTTTTAAAAAACTTTTCTACACAAATAATTGAAAAACGTCGTCAGGATCTGGAAAATGATTTGTCTCAAACCACTGATGATACACCACAAGAAGATGATGACACAATTGGTATCAAGAAACGAATGGCTCTATTAGATTTATTACTTCAATCCAATGTTGATGGAATTCCGTTAACGGATGAGGATATTCGAGAAGAAGTCGATACATTTACGTTTGAGGGACATGACACAACAACATCAGCAATTTGTTTCGCATTATTCGAAATATCTCGACACCCACAGGTGCAGGAAAAAATTTTGAGTGAAGTTAGGGAAGTACTGAATATTAAAAGTGGTAACTCAATTAAAATCCAAGATCTTAGCAAATTGAAGTATACTGAATGTGTTATTAAGGAGACATTACGTTTGTATCCATCAGTGCTCGTTATTGGAAGAAAAATTATGTCGGACTTTAAGTATTGTACGTATTTTAAAATTAAAGTATTTTGTGTAGAAATTAACACAAAACTCAGTCCATAATGTCACATTAAAATATTTCAGCTCATTCAAAGATTGGTGATGCTGTGTTACCAGCGACTACAGAGGTTTACGTTGACTTTTTTAATACAATGCGTGATCCAGATAATTATGAGAATCCAGAAGAGTTTATACCTGAACGATTTGAGAACATGAAAATGGAATCTGCATTTGTTTATTTGCCTTTTAGTGCTGGACCCAGAAACTGTATTGGACAAAAGTTCGCTATGCTGGAAATGAAAATGATTTTGGCAAAAGTTGTATCAACATTTGAGTTAATTGGAAGTGGAGAAAATATCCAAGTTAGATTTGCGCTCATAATTCGTTCATTCAATGGTTTTCCAATAATCATGAAACAACGAGATGGAACATTTATATGATTATTAGAGAAACTTGTATTATACTAATTAGATAAAAGCTTTATTATCTTCGGGTTTTTTATTTCAATTTTAAAAAATATTTTAGTGCCACTCAATGTTATTACGTAAATAAAACTAACCAGCAATAAAGTATTATATCGCCACACTTTCTTGATCACTATCATTATCGTCGTCTCTCAAATCGTTTTAATTTTCATTTAGTCGGTCTGTAACTATTTCTTCAAAGTCAGACGTTTTAAGTTTATTTCCTATGACTATAATAGTAACTTAATTGTTTAGTGGATATCACCGTCAAAATCAAAATTTTGGAATTGATTGTTGGCAATAGGTTGCAGGTTATATTAGGAACTCAGCATGTTGATGCAGGAGGCGATTTTTATATAAGTAAGCTGTAGATGTTAATGTTTATATTCAATGAGCATTTTAAAATAGTATGGAAAAGAGTTATAAAGTATTTATAACGAACTTAGTCGCTCATTGCTTAACTGAGAGAGAGTGAAATGACTCATTTTTCGTCATTTACCTGGTTTTAAAATTTTGTATGTGGTGGCAGATTGAACAAATACGAAATATACATGTAGGAAAATGTCGATTAACTGCCCCACGGTACCAAATGATTTCATAATGCCTCTCTTAGTTTGCGAATATTATTGTCTGAACTCTGATGGTACTAGCAAACTTTCTGCAGTACTTAGAAAAATTAGAAGATTAAGCATAGAGTCTGCATAGTAATAGTAATATAATAGTAGAATTTAGACGTTTTTACTAGTCCCACAGATACCTTTTGCTTAAAAAGTATTTCGGGTCTACGAAAAGTGTATGGAAGATTGGGTTAAGCGTTGACATATGTGTATCGCTTCAGAAGAAGCATATTTTGAAGGAGATAAAATAAATTTGGAATAAAATTTAAATTTGTGTGTTTTATTTGCAAAATCGGGTACTTTTTGAGCAGAAGGTATATCAAAATATGAATTATGAAATAGAAAATAATATGAGGGAAAAATTCTTTAGCACTTTGAATGAGTAATTGAATTGGACTTTGTATTTAACACTAAATTCTACTTAAACCCTTTATTCCGATATTTCGCCAGACCAAAACACGTTAGATTCACTAATGTAAGTCTTATCTATTCCATCGGCAAGGACAAACGAAATATCGCAGCTATTTGATGGTTTAGACGTACGTTACTGACAAAGTATTCAATATCTTAAGAATGCTTTTTCGATGAATAGGATATTTCGATGAATAGGATATTGAATAAGAAATTGATGAGCTAAACCGGTTGGCAGACATCACCCTTATATATACTCGTATCACTGGACATAGGAACATCGAATGCAACGAGAACGCTGACATTTTATCCCGCTTCGGTGCTTTACTGGATGCGTCCCTAGCGGTACTAGCTTAAGTTACCCTAGAGACCGCAAGGCAAGATAGAGAAGTCACTACCTTGACTTTCTTCAGCTTATTAATAATAAAAAGTGGTATAGAACCTACTTTACAGAGTTTAATTGCCTCTTTCGTAAGAATGTACACTCCTGGGAGCCTACTTCGTATCTGCATTAGTGCAGGACATTCTAACAGCACATGTGTGGCTGACTCCTCAATCTCTTCGCAGAATCTACAGTTTGTATCCGTAAATGTACCCAGTCTTTTAAGGTAGTATTTTAGTTTACAGTCCCCTGTTAGGATCTTGTGATGATTCTGAGTTTTTCTTTTAATAGGTTCATACAATAATGGTATCTTCATGCAATTTTGTTACAATTCATTAATTATGTTGAAGCTATTTGAACCAGTGCACTTGAGGACTTTTATTCTTTCTTCATTCGAGGTATTTTTAAAACCCTTTTTTACGCCTTGATTTTTGTTTATCACTTCATCAGCGAGTAGTAAAATAGCTTCGTTTTTACTTAAAAAATTCAAATCAAATTGCTTATTAGTACCTCCTATTTGTTATTTGTACTAGGTGCAATATTAAAACAATTTTTGTCTTTATTTTAAAAATCGTTAATAAAACACAAAAAAAAAAACTTCATCAGACTAAGCAATAATTGACCTTAGATCTGCATACCAATATAGGTAAAGGTATGAATAACTGATTTGGATTGTTTTAATACTGGTATATTATCCCAGTAATCTTTTTTATTCTGGTTCTCCTTTATTTTTATGAGAGAAAGGAGCGTACTATGTCCTAGTCCACAAAAACGTTCCTGCTTCATAATCGGAGTTTCTGCTTCTTTTCTGGCAAGTTTGTCCGCGTATTCGTTTCTGCGGATGCCAGTATGTCCTGGTACCCAAAGAATTGACACCTGATTTGATTCACCAAGCAGATTTAGCTTAACAAGGCAGTCTAACATCAGTCTTGAGGTCACCTGACGCGAGTGACAATTATGGACAATTACGTTGGTATGTATTTTTAAGGATTGTCGATTATTGGCGGTATCTGAAACAGGCGGTCATCAAAAATTTACTTGATTAAAAACAAGAATTTTGGTTTTAGAAATTTTCTCATTATTACGAGGACTTTTGTATCGATTGCAATGAGTTTTACAAATTTTAAAAATGATTAATTATATGGCTGTCAAACTTTAGAAAAATGTCCATAATATTATATACATATGTAACTATTTTATTTATTTTAACTATTTTATTAAATAATCAATTAAATGATTTCATCAAGAAAATAATAAAAGTGACCATTTTAAATTGAGTAAAAATGTCATAAACCTGCTTCATAATGTTTCTCGCTGATATCCGTTCTGCTGTCTGTATTGTAACTAACAGTTGACGTTGACAGCAAATAACAATAACAATAACAACAATGTCCATATCAGCAACTGCATTTATTAACTGTTATTTATACTCATTTAAAGCATAAATGTCAAACGAAAAATTATATTAAATTGTTTTGCAAAAGCGTCAAGTCATAAACAGCTCATCAGTCTTCAGCGGCGCGAGTATGCGTTGCGGCATAATGACATATACAACATCACTAACGACAACGCCCGCTTACTACAACTACAATTTTAGTACGCCTTTCAGCCCGCGTAATAAATATGAAAACGTAAGTAGTAGTTACGAGTATTTATGTATGTTCATTGGTATAATGTAAGGGGTAAGGGTAACTTGGTATTAAGTTCAGTATAAAATAGCTTTCTTAGTTGCAGGCATTACGAAGCGCATAGTTTGGTGTGAGAAAATATTTTGCTGTTGCCTTTGACGCTGATAATGCAATTTCCTCACTTTGTTGTTGTCATGAAGTTGTTGTTTCAGTCCTTCAGTTCATTCTGTACTGTAGTGTTTTTAAATGCTTCATTTTCTTTAGCAATGTAGCAATGTATAGCAATTTTGTTGCATTCTTATAATTGCCATTGTTGTTGTTGCTGCTGCTGCTGCTGCTGCTCCTGCTGCTTTAAATTGCAATAGTAATAGGGAAAATTAAAAGACAATGTTCCACAAAATTTTACCCCGAGGGATTGTCGGAATGCAATTGTACCCACAGCAAAATTTTAGTTAAATGTAAAGCGATCTGTTTTCTTAAAACTCTGCATTGCCTTCCTATACGTTTTATTCGTTTTGCTTTACGTTTGCCTGTACTGCAATGGAGTAATCAGTAAAGTTTTATGCAAGTTAAATGCAAAGTTACATGGCAACACTTTTCTTTGACAAGTTTTTTGTATGTACTGTACATTTGTTAAAGCTTAAAAATCTATTTTATATAAAATTTTTTTACTAAAAAGTCAATGAAACAATGAAATTGTTGCGATTTTAGGAAATAATTAATGTTTTTCTTTGTTTTTGTTTTTGGTTTTTATTGCAAAGAAAATCATTTTTTTTACAAATTCTTTACTAACGAAAAGTCACGATTGTCTGGTTTAAAAGGTTGAAAGAAAATTACACACATGAAAATGCGCAGGTGATAACCACATGGAAAAAAATGTCCTTTCGTGATGTGTCAGGATTTTTCTTCCATTCTTCGTTTTGCATTTGTTTTTTATTACAAATTGGTTCGCAGCAGTTTTCATATCAAATTACAAAGAAACGACAGAAAAAAAATGATGTGTAATTGCAGGACACAATAGATTTCAAATAAAAAGAAGACAATAAGTCCTGTTAACCAGTGGGGTAGTGAAATTGAAAGTGTTCTCTGCGGTGGTATGCGTTGTGTTCGAGTGAGTTTAGTGGTTTTCGTCTACGGTTCAGCAAGTATACAACTAAAATTTGTTCGAGGCTCATTAAAGGGAGTGCCCATTTATGAAACTACAAAACAATTTTGTAAATGTCACGTGAAATATTTAATACTAAAACTCTTATCTCATTTGACACGCACACATAAATTAATAAAAAAAAATTGTTACACTTAAGATAACCTCATATGTATTGTATAGAATCAAGGCAGATTAAAGACTTATTCATACATACCTTCGGATTTATTTTAGGTTTGAAAAGGTTTTATATGTTTAAAGCTTTAAATTCTGAAGATTTAACTTTAGAATTTAAAGCTTCAACTTTATTGCAACGAATATATATTCTTTTGAAGTTAATATCATATCCAGATATTCAAAATTTCATTATTTTCAAATATATTGTCATCCATTAGAAATCTTTGGTTATCTTTATAGCTAATGTAGTGTATTCCGGCAAGTTTAATGTTAAGATCAGTTTATGTTACACTAGTTACGTTAAAAAAGTTAGGTTATGAAAGTCAACTCAATTAGGATATGAGTGTTATATTAAGAAATGGATTTTAATTGTAATTACATTAAAAGGTATAAAGAAGTACATATATATACTTACAAATTTGGGACAATTCTTGAATGAATTTGTCAGTTGAAATATGACTGCCAAAATATTAACTGACAAAATACTGACAAAATATTAACTGACTTAGTAATATTTTGTTCTGAAGTGAAAATTGCAAAACATCTAAGAATATTTTGGACTTTAGAATTCTTATTGTTGATATTCTGCTCTCTCATCATAGTAATCTTTGATTCAAATTTTCATATTGTTTCAAAGAAATTTGATTTTAGTGCAATTT